ACCCAGAGGTTGGTAGCTCTGCTGTCCAACACCACCCCACCACCATCACCAGCCTAACCCTAACATCGTGTCTGACCATCAATCCTTTGAGCCACCTAAAGCCTCTAGATCTGCAGATTTACCATGCAGATAACAGCAAGATAAAGCACTTAACAGTCATGAAGAATGTGCTATCAGCTGTTCCATAAACCCAAAAGTCAGCCCAATTTCCACAAGTTATAAAAGTCCATCAACCTCCAGTGGCCAAAGAAACACAGCTGCTTATTTTCTGACTGCTTTATTCTCCAGACCAATTTTCCTCAATGCTAAAGCAAAAAAATGAACGGCAGATTGTCCAGTTCATGACTGGATGGCTGGCAACAGAAATCCTATTTCCAAACTGACCCCTGCTTTCCAGCATGGCATTCATTAATTCCACAGTCTCACATTTCTAGGAAGATGTCAGTCATGTATGTGATTTTTCTATCAGCTATTAATGCCAGATCACAAGGTGAGAAAGCAGGGGTTTTAATCTCAAGACCCTCAGGAGATGGAGCTGCATACATTTGGTGTGAGCCATGTGTCTGGAAATGTCAAGGACAAATATTTTTAAAGTAAGGAGTGTTCATATCCATGTGTAATCTTAAGTACTACAGAAGTGATCCAAAACATAGCCCTTTTCTCCTTGTTGCGATTGTTCGGCTGTAGCAAGCATGCTACAGCTGCTACTTCCCAGAAATGAAGTTTAGATCACCTAACTAGGCACCTATGCATTTAGGAATTTGCATACTTATACTGAGCACCATTTTAAGGCTCTCCTAAAGGCTTTGCCCACGGCAGTGTTTAGTTTTCTATTTGTAGAAAGGAAAAGTTTTACTGTAGGAACAGTAAAAGTTCCCTGTCTCGAAAAACTGTTTGTTCCTTCATTCTAAATATGAGATTAGTTCCTCTCCTCTTTATTTTTTGTCATTCCCCATTAGGCTATTTCCCATGGTCTGAAAAATCAGGCACTGAATTTATTACTGGGGCTGGAGCAGCTCCCCTGGGAGGCCAGGCTGAGAGAGTTGGGGGGGTTCAGCCTGGAGAAGAGAAGGCTACGGGGAGCCCTTCGAGCGGCCTCCCAGGGCTTAAATGGGGGGACAGGAAAGGTGGGGAGGGACTCTTGATCGGGGGGTGGGCATAGGATGAGGGGAGACGGTTTTAAATTGAAAGACGGCAAGTTTAGATTGGATCTAAGGCAGAAATTGTTCCCTGGGGGGAGGGGGTGGGGGGTGGGTGACGCGCTGGCCCAGGGTGCCCAGAGAAGCTGTGGCTGCCCCCTCCCTGGAAGGGTTCAAGGCCAGGTTGGACGGGGCTGGGAGCCCCCTGGGCTGGGGGAAGGGGGCCCTGCCCGGGGCAGGGGGTGGCACTGGAGGGGCTGTAAGGTTCCTTCCAACCCGGAATGTTCTATGATTCTATGATTACAAAGTCCCTGATTTTAGACCTAATTACAGATTCCACCTCCCTAACAAATGAACAAAATCCCCTTTTCTTTCCATCCTTAGCTCAACTAAATGATAACTTTGAGTCCCATTACAATTCAGGTGTCAGACAGCATACATGTACCTATATTTCTAACGTAACATACAAAGAACTCGTACTTTGCTTTAGCTTTTCTTTTACAAAAATCTATCACTGTAAAAGGTTCCTTCAAAACTGTGATGTCAGAAAAGGTGCATTGATGCCTGCCACGGGATGGCTACAATGATAGACTGCAGTGTTACCAGCCCTGTGAATCTTAGTAGGAACACAAGTGAACTGGGAGAAACAACAGTTATGTCCAACAACAGAAAACCCGCTGCCTCATCAGCCCGTAGCGTCATCAGCAGTTGAAGAAGACATTCACATGACACCTATTTCACATGCCATTGCCTATTGCTGCAACCAAGGAATGTTATTTAACTAACAAAGAGTGTTGCAAATAGTTACTCATTTGCCCTTCACACACTGTCACCAATTTTCTTTCTATGAGCCTACTTATAATCATTCAAGTTCAAGACTAAAGGGTGTAAAAATTGTCAGCCTTCCTATTGATGTGAACCAGGTGTGTGCATTTGTGTCTTAGCATGTAAAAAGCGAGAAAGAAAGAAAAATCTCCAAAGAAACATTGATGGCGTGCACCCTTTTGAAATCTTTTCCTAGATAGCTGCTCTATTGCTTGAAATATAGATCTGAGTCTGCTTTTAGCTGCTAACTGCCATATAACATATTATCCTACTTATTGCATGCAGTTACAAACATCTTGTATCTGGAAGCAACAAGGGAGAAGGCTCCTTTATCAAGTCAATCTCAAATCCCATTATGTACCTCTACAACAGTTTCCGTAAACATTCAGCAATTTTCAGTGTCTGAGTTGCGCAGCTGAAGAGGTGCATAAACAGGCTCCACTGAAATGTGAAGATGACTGATAATGTACTAACATTGAGACCCCTTGCTGTGATTATTACCCCCTGAGTGCTCCTTACAGAATGTGCCTCTTATCTCACACTGACAACGCTAATAGAATATGCATAGCCCTATTAGCATACAAGATAATAGCACCCTGGAGGGGACAGAGCCATAAAACTTTAAGTAGAAATCAAAACAGAAGGAGGAAGAAAAAAGGGAACATTGTCACAAGCCAAAAAGAAAAAAAAAAAAAAGGGAGCCTGAGGGCAAATTTTGCTGCAGAAAACACACATAGTCATAATTCTTGTGCTAGTCACCATGCAAATGGTAATAGTCTTTAGTCCCATGAATACTATCAGTGCCATGTTTGCTGTGAAACATTAATTGAGATAATGTGCCCCTTTCGGATGCAGCAGGGAGTCGTATGTCAAATTGTACCACAACAAAATTATGGCAACATCTGCAAGAAATATTCAGCAGCGATTGGGGTACCTTGCATGGGATAAGCCCAACTGGGTCTTCCTTCGCCTTTGCAGATGGAGCCTGTGGAAGAGCCAGAGCCTGCGAGGGGAGGCAAGCAGCTGTTACTTCAGATGACATGTGTGCATACCTGTAGCTTACTACTTTTCAGCTGCTGCACAGTTAAAAGCTTTGCAGGTTAGACGTGTTATCTCTTGACCCTACTTCAGTCACTGGATTAAACCTCGAGCAGCTCTTTGAATGCCACAGCCTTTCTTTAGTCACGTCTGCCCACTGCATTCACATTTGTTCCATGTAACCGTCCATTGTACCAGACCTTTCACTGCTCACCCATAGCTGGCAGACAGCCATGCATTCATATGCTTTCCATCTTACAGCAATAGCCAAAGTAAATCTTTCAGTGCTTGGCACAAGAGTGTGAATTCAATAAAAAAGGCTTCAAACAAGTTTGAGATGGCTTGTCTCTAAACAAACGAAGAACAGTGAGCTTTTCTAATGCTCATTGTGGTTCAGTTCCTGCCTACAGCTAAATCCAGATAACCCCCAGCAGCACTGACAACCCTGTCTGGTAAAATAGTCACCTGTCAAGTGGGCATGAAAATATCCACACATCTAGGCTCAGAAGGGTTGGAGGGAAGTGACCTGCTTCTTACCAGGAGCTTCAACAGGGGCGATCAAAGGTCCTTGTTGTCTTCTTTGTGAGATCTGAAACTTTCCAATATTAGTGCTGAATGCACAGGACCTCAGGGTAATCGCTCCACAGAGCGCTGTATGCTTTTCCCTTTACAGAAAGATGGTGTCAGGAGGTAACAAGCACAGGATCCCTGTGGTGCATTTTGAAGCATCATGCAAAGTTTTCTGGGATTCCTCCTAGCATTCACAGTGGTTTCTATAGAGCTAAACTCTTTGTAAAGTGGCTTTGTGTTGCAAAGTTTTGCAGCTTGTGTGAGTCTGCCTCACTTCATTTTGGTTGATGGTACTTCATGCTGACGATTTCAGCAATTAGAACACAGTTGGAAAAGACTCTGGTAAAGAAAAACCAGCCATTTTGGAAAAGGAAAGTAGAGTGAAGATTAGAGGAATGATTCCTGAACCTACCTCCCATGTGTCTGGGTGTGTATGTGTGTTTATGCATGCATACAGCCTCTGCGCCAATGTTACCACAGGCAAAACAGCTCATGTCAAAAACATACAGTTTTTAGAGATTGTTGAAGTATTTTGTTTAATGTTCCTCTGCAGTTGGCACAAACTCTGGGATAATTTCTCATTTCTTCCTGGAAAGATAACAAAACACCAGTATGTGCAGCGTAGGTACTAATGTTACCTCATGTGAATCATAGATGTACGATTCTCATAGGTTATCTGCATCCTAGTTTTTCAGACTCTGACTCTCTGACTAGTTTCCTTATCAGGAGTTAAACGAGGAAATGCTACTTCCACAAAAAGGCATCCCAGCATTGGTGAAGGCTAAAGAAACGCCTGGGTACCTACCTACACCTGAAGAAACAGCACTTTGTGAACAGCTTCTAAATCTGGATCCAAATGGGGTCTCTGAGGCATGGCTCCAGGACACTGAGTGATGGCTCCTATCGCTCCAGCACAGCTGGGAAATCTCACTGAACGTTGGTCAATGCTTGACAGATGTGGGAGGAATATTTTGTACATTGTGTGACTAGCAATTACCCTGTTTAAATTGCTTTCTGTATGCAAAAAGTACCTTTTAAAGATGCTAAAAATTTGGCAAAAAAACTTTAGAAATGTTAAACTATGACAAGGAGAGTAAAGTTTGCACACTTAAGATGAAAGTGAGTTACAAATGTGAAGTGTACTATATCACCTGCATTGCAGCTTCCATCTGTAACTTTTTGCTCTATCTCCTTTCATACCTTTCTTTAGTGAGGCCCAGCCCCCGTATTTGGATCTTGCTGTGCTCATTTACTGAATCACACCTCAGTTCAGCAGGGCACCTAAACACGGACTGCTTTCTGCAAATTTAGGCTACAAATGTCGAGATTTGCTTGTGGACATTTCCTGGCTAGAACAGTAGGCAACCTCCTAGTAGAAAAACTGTTAGTTGCATATTACTTACATATTCATCCAGAGAAGCATAGGTGCTCCAACACAGCGAGGTTCTGGGTATGAGAAACGCAGAGTATGTGTGCACTTCATAAAGACAAACAGGGAGAGAGACAGGATTATCAGCCAGCTCATATCAACAGCAGCAAGAGCAGTCATTTAATGCACAAGTAATTATTCCAGAATAAATAAGTATCTCTTTTCCCTATACTAAGATATAACTTTTATTTAGCAGACATTATCTCCAAGGATCCTTAGCAGCCCAGGACACAGCAAAGTAATACAGTACAGTCTGGATGCTGTTATGTATTTATTAAGTTGTATCAGGGCCCATTTAGTAGCAGCTCTGCAGTTTATCACGTAAATATCGAATGCCAAATACAAAAGAGAAGAAAATAGCAACATAAAAAATTTATCTTTGGGGGGAGGAGAGGGAGAAAGGGAGAGAGAATGGTGCTGATAATGTGATTGTGCCTTCAGCAATAGTGGCTAATATCCTTTTGCAAGGGGCGCGGTGTAAAAATATTCCAGGGTAGGGGGAGGAGAAGTGAAGAGAGGGGAGACTAGCTGTTGTTTGTTTGTTTTAAAGTGTATTCTGGTTGCAGGCTAGGTCAGCGGGTGGCCAGACTGAGAAAATGAGTCCCCCGGGCTGTAATAATTGTAACTGTCAGGGAAAAAAAGTCAAGGTCTTAGATAGCAGTGGTCTGCTTTGACTTCTGACCATGGAGAAATATATATGAAAACTATTGCCTGGGGCACTATGGGAAGAAACCAAGAGGTTTTAACTCGTGGTGGCTTGTGCTTATGAATTGGAAAACTCATTTTGCACCTTGGTGGTTTGTATCTTTATTTTCATTTGCAGTCTAAATGAAGCTAGACGTATCCTTTTCCTTATGCCCAAATTTTTGATGCAACGAACACCTATTACTAGACTAGCTTTGCATTTCTGAGTCCCAGACAGCATGGAGGCTTATAACTGAGCTTTTAACAGTGGATATTCACAAGGAGAGTCTGAATTTGATTCTCTCTTGCAGTACACTCATTGTTTACCTGAGTGGTCCATTGCAGCCTTCAATGGATTAATCCAGAATTACACACAGGTAACTTCACTGACTTAACCAGAAATATTCCTAGTATAAAAGCAGTGCAAGACAGAGATAAGAAGTTGAAGAATTTAAACTACACAAGATTAATCTTTACAAAAAGGAGGGGGAAACCAAACAAAACCACAAACCAAAACAACCAAACGCACCCGCTCCTCCCAACCCAAAACTGGTTTCCCATTTTTATTATTTATTTATTTGTTTGTTTGTCTGTCTATCTATCTATCTATCTATCTATCTATCTATCTATCTATCTATCTATCTATCTATCTATCTATCTATCTATCTATCTATCTACCTACCTACCTACCTACCTACCTACCTACCTACCTACCTACCTATCTATTAATTTTACAGCCATTAGTTAACTGGCCAGGCTTTTTGTGAATCATCAATTTGCCCCTTTATTTAAGGCAGTATGGGAGTTCTAATGAAAAGTTTGTTAGCAAACCTGAGCCCCAAGGGTAATGTTTTGGTTGTTTACTACACAATATCAGGCTGGGAGTCTGGGTGCATCCTTCTCTCATTTTGCATCTTTGTACCCCAAACCAAAGGGAGGAGAGACAAAGCTGAGGACAGAGGTTTGCTGGTGAAAAAAACTGACACACATTTCTTTGAATATTCTGCTCCCACCTTGCCCTCAGATTCCCATGCACCTTTGTGGCTTTGGCCCTAACTTTATGTCAGGGGGACTGAGTAGGAAAGACGTAGTCAAAAGCAAATGTTGGACAGTCAACCAGCTCATTTGACAGGTATATGCACAGAGCAGAGGGACATTTCTGACAAGCAGCTTTGCCCGCACATCTCAACATTTCTGAATGTGTTTCTTACATACCATAAAGGAAAGACAACTGTCCAAAGGGGAAAAAATTATGCAGAATCAATCGTATTCGCTACTTAAGCTGTGAGGTAGGTAAGAATGTAGCCCAGGCACTTTCCTTCTTTTGGCAGGGGTCATCACACAGCATTGCAAGATTTTGAGATCTTGTACATTGCTTCTATCTGCATAGGGTGAAAACAAAGCCATGTGAACACCTGTAAAATTCAGTTGTGTCAGGTCATCTGTTCTGGAGCTTTCAGTATGTCCATTTGTCTTTGGCTGGAGAATACAATCTGACTCTGAGAAGCTTCCTCATCAAAATCCATGTCCCTCTGCAAAATGATCTGGCTTCAATTAAATGTTAGGGGTTTTTTTTTAACTGTAAATGCTTTGTTCAAACATCCCAGCTTCTCTGATAGCCTTTTAATATGAATTAATTAGTAAATATAATTCCTTTAATAAGAATTAATAAGGGAATTAAAAATATTTATATGCCTAGTAAGACCCAAATAAACTATATAAACATCAAACAGCAATTAATCCCAGTTTGAGGGTGACAACAGCATGTAAGGTTTTGCTGATAAAAGAGGATAATTATTGCTGGAATGTGATTTACTTGTTGAAAGTCACTGTAATAATGAGCCGGCTAACTTTTATGGGCCCCATCTGTACTTTACTCACCTTCCTTACAGCCTGCCTGTGTCTTGTGAGGAAAGTACAGCACGTGTAATGGAGAAAGAGAGAGCAGTAATGTTGTAGTAAGGAATGAAGTCCAGTGGAGCAAATAGGCATACATCTGAGGAAAGAATATAACAATGGTACTCATGTGTTTCAGCGTTACGTAAATAGCTCCCCTGCTTTATCTCCCAGTAGCCCCAGATCTCAGTAATTCACATTTCATTGTTCATGGCATTTTACAGAGGGGCAGCAGAAGTAAGAGATGGGGCTAGTGAAAAGAGGACCACTAATTTAGGACCCTCTTTAAGGTAACAAGGCAGTGCCGAGAAGAGCATGGCAGAAGCAGAGACTCAAACACCGAAAAGAAACAACAGCTCATCTGGCCTGACCGGAATAACAGAGCCCAGACCCTTTTGCCTTCTTACCCTGCACTAAACCTAGTAAGTCATGCTCGGAAAAAGGATGTTTTCCAAAATGGCATCCAGTCTCAATTTAAAGATTTCAGGCACAGGAAACCTACCATTTCTGTGTGATAGTTGTTCTAGCAGCTAAGGAATTCCAGTGATAAAAATAATTTACGTTATTTGAATTTCCCTTCTCACCAGTGATGATTTTTTCTGCTAATGTGAGGACTTCTTCAGGACTTTGGCTTCCATACCTGTGAAGATACTGATACGTGCTAACCACATGGCCCTCGGATCTGCATTTTAGCAATAAATATTGGTTCATATGGGCGCATCCCAAGTCCTGGAACGAGGAATATGGTCACTGGGTAAGCAAAAGACACTAGTGCTATTGCAACACTTGCAACACCTAAAGCTTCCTGCTTTGAAGACAGGAGCAGAAAGCCTGAGTGGAAGTCTTAGCTCCTAGGGGGCTTTCATGATTCTGAACCCTGCTGAGCCTTCACTTACTGAGGAGATCACCCTTAAGACAGGCACAGGAATTCATGCGGGTCCCCTCTTCTGAGCTTTTCAGAGATGCTGGCTGGCTGCACCATTAAATTTGCAGGAAGGAGACAAAGGTCCAGCTGTACTACCGTGCAGCGGGGTCTCTTCCCGCGTGGCCGAGGCACAGCACCATGCTACAGCAGAGGGGTTACAGCAGCTCTACCTGTAGCTTGCTAATGCAGCTTGTGCCCGGACAAGCAAATGATTGTTCAAGAGATTTTGTATTTTAAGGTGAAGGTGGTACATGCGGAAGATCTCAATGTCACGACAAAGCAGGGAGGGAGGCTGTAAGGAGGAGGAAGGCAGAAACCTTCACAACTAATGTCAATTTTCTGCATCAAATATTTTGATAATTAAACAAAGCTGATCAAGAGAGGAAAACAGCATGTCTCCAGAGCTCCGGAAGCAGAGGCCCATTAAATAGAAGAGTCAGAAAGTGCCAGAGGCGGCAGCCTCAGATTAATGGCACTCCAGTAATAGATTTTCCCAGGCACAGTCACACAGGAGACAACTACTGTGTAGCCAGAGCAGCGATGAGGCCGTTAAAGCAACAGTAACATTAAATCACCTGGTACCACGGGGCGAGGGGATGGATGGGAGCGCATCGGCTTCAGCACTGCAGAAGGTGTAAAGCTCAATCTGCTCTCAGGCAAAGGGGCTGGATCCCAGCGGTCATTTACAGCAGGGAAAGCAGGCAGCTCAGATGGAGGACGCATAAAGAAACAGATAAGCAGTAGTTCCAGAAGGGTGGTGAGCTGAGCACAAATATCTCTTCCTGAACTGTAGAAGTAGGCATTAAACACCAGCGCATTTGGTTTTGCTGTGACCGGCCATGCCTGTCTTGGTTCAGTCGCCCTTCTTTTCTTAATCAATTAGTAAGTACTGGTTTTATCTCCGATGTTTCTCCACTGACTTTCAGGGTGTTAAAACACCATTTTGAATTTGTTTAAATGCAGCTAAACTTCAGAAGGGGGATGGGAGGGATGGCAGCAGGGTGGCCTTGTTTTCTTATTATCAAGCCAGTTTTATCTCAGCAGTGTTTGAACTGATCCTCCTTGAAATGTCCATCTTGTCTAAAGCATTTCTATCCATTTTTATAATACAATAACAACAGAAACGAGGGCTTCTTCCAAGCCAGGCTGGCATGGATTAGAGTCCACCGCAAGAGTACTTCATTCCCAGCTGGGTTGTATGGAAACCAGATGAAGTGGCTGAAAATAGGAAACAACTTTTAGATGTACTTGAATCCTGATACGATCACATCACAGGGATGGGTTAAATTTATGATCTTATCTAGGATTTCTGTTTGTAATCAATCCCAGACCTACTGGCTATCACTCACTATAAGCTTATGATTTCCCGGTGCTAACAAGGAAAAGTTGGGACATCAAACTATGAGGGAGTGAAGCCAAGCTATGATATTAGCAGATAGGATCAGAACTGGAATGCAACAAAAATGAAAAAAAAAAAAAAATAACAAACAAATAGAACCCCCCACACTGCAAAACAAAAGAAAAATGATAGCCTCCTGCAGCCTGCAAATTTCAGCCTTTGTCTCTTTTGGCCCATGCTTTGTACCTAAACTATGGCGTGTGCATAAACCTCCAGTTTCCAGGCAGAAAGATTTGGGGATAAAAGCTAACAAAGCAGAAATAAACCCATAAAACTCTGAGATCAAAGTCCAGCTTCAGCATGGCATACCATTGCTATCCTTAATCATGCATATGCAGCGGGACATGCAGCAAAATGCACCGATTTCCTCATCTTCTCCCTCTGAGGTTATAGTAATCTCATCATATAGCACTACTTATTTTGCTGGATTGCCTACCACATTTACCATGGCAAAGCCTGAACCTTTTTTAGGTGACTTGGGCAGCAGATGGCCAAGAGTATCCATCGAGCGGATTTGACCCTGGTAGCCCTCTCCTTACTTGAATGCAATTAAAGAGAAGAACTGCAAAGCAGGGGTGGAGCCCATGGCACTATTTTACAGCCAATTCTAGACAACCTCAGGCAGTTTTCACAATTCCAGCACCAGTATATGAATAGGGAAATTGCATATATTTGTGCATGATATTTCTTTCCATCTTCGCCCATTTTGATTCAAACAGAGGCCTGTTTTCATACAATATTAGAGCCAGTCTAAGTCAGGGCAGAAGAACTACTGTTCCCTGATTACCACTCTGTTTTCCAGGTTGAACACTGTGGAACAAGATACTACGATGCACTGGGTCTCTTGCATATTTACCCACAGTAGATCAAACTTGCATTGCTTTGGGGTGTCCCTCATATTCACCTGTGACAAAGACACACTGTAATTTGGCCAACATTTCTCACTAATTGTGTCATCAAAACTTGCTTGAATATGACCATTCAGATGGTAGGAATGGCAGGGCACCAGCAGTAAATAACCAAGTGTATGTGCATTATTTCAACTGTTTCCCTTTCCAGGCCCATTAAGAGCTCTTTGCACACCTTTTCCTGGGTATCTTGGCATCAGTGGCACATTCTGATACTCCATTTGTCTGTGATGGGTTGAAGAGGAACAGACTTACAGGCCACGTAACCCTCACGGGTTAAACATAGAAGGTAAAGTACACACTCTACAACAGTTATCTTGTTCTTTGTAGGTGCAGCAAATTCACCTAACAGGTGACTGTCGAGCTGCAAATAAGCATTTTGGAGAGTTTAGAAGGCATTAGGAACATCACTGCTCAGCATTCTGAACAGCCTTTCACACAGTGAGGAGCTTCCAAATCTACACTGAATTGCTTTCTTCTCAACTTTGCATGGATTAGCTCCGAGACTAACAGTGTGACAAATCTGTTAATGTTTCAACAGGCAAGTCTTAATTTTGTACATACCCTTCAGTCATTTTCCATATGGAAATGGAAACTTTTTTTTTTCTTCCACAGTCTGTTAATATTTTCAATATAGGCATAAAAAGATTGTTCAAAATGAAAAAAGTTTCAACTGGAGGCATTCAGATTGTTTAAAAAATTAGAATTCTTGAGCAGTACCTATGGGTTTTGTGAAAAAACATTAAATCTACTGTATAAATGGAATAGATAGGCTGAGAGCAGAAGAGTTTTAGCAGCTTGACTAGGATCACTCCAAGTTGGAATGTAACCTCTGAATCCCAAGCTCCAAACCCAATCCAAAGGGGCTTTCTCATAACTACTTGAGCATATTCAAATCTGCATTTGGTTCATGAGTTCACAGTCAACCCCATGCAAGCAGCAGCCTGCAGCATAATTAGTCCCCCAAAGCAAACAGAACTGTAGCAGGGAAATAGTTAGGGCCAGGCTCTTTTATTCTGTATAAATCAGATCTATAAATCAGGAGTGATTCAGCTGAAGTTACTGGTGTTGCTCTCCTTTGAGGTGAACGGATCCGAATCTGGTCCACACATTTCTGAGAATCAACATTTGTAACTGTATCAGTAGCCTGGAATGTCTCTTAATTGGCACCAAATGTGAAACAGCTCATTAGCTGGGCAAGGCAAATAGCATGAGAGATATGTCAGAAACTGAAT